CATAAACGTCGTTACGGAGTTCATTCTTGAATTGACGATTGAAAAGGGAATGGTGAGATTAGTTATAGTCCAATCGAATTCTCAAGTACTAGTGTCCAGTGGCGACGAATAAGATCAGTTCACAATCTTCTTTCAGATGAAAGGTTCCGCCAACACGATCAGGACTGAAGCAGTGCTTGTTGACAGCCAGATAGGGCTTGTGTCTCAAAAGGTAAGCAATCCCAAGAATGCTGACCCAGGGGCGAATTTCTTAACCCGAGGCGGGACTCGACTCACTCACCCTTTCCGGGCGAATGCGCTATCCATGACGCCACCAGGGCCACTTCTTCCCTTATTGGCTGAGAAGATAGTGGAGAGCACAGTGACAAAGGGTAGAGACTGTCTGAGCGTAGAAGGGAAGAAAGAATCTAGGCCTCATATCCTGAAGCTGAGGAAGGCGTGACAGTGCACTTTGTTTGAGCATGACGTTTTTCGCCGGTTATTTCCATTTGAGACAACTGTCAACCCGCTTTGTGGGTGCAATTTTTTCACCGTCCATAATCACGGTAAGAATGAGTGCCATTAGGCGGGTATCTATCTGACAGTTACCCTTGGGTATTTTTGCACATGAGCATTAATTACCACCGGTACTTTCGTTATTGAGGCGGAGGTGGTGTAGTGACAAGTGGCGCGCTTACCACTCGCGCGGTCCTGGGTTCGAATCCCAGGTCGACACCCGCCCAGGCCAACCAAGCCTTCTACCCTCCGGGGACGGTACCAGATTCGTCTGGGAGGATAAAACACTGACTTGTACATCGGCTGGCCACCGCAAGTCATTGTATAGGCCACATCGCATTCAATAAGCCACTACGATTCTGAATGGAAGTAGAATGCGTGCCGCATCCCACAAAGGGATTGATTAACGGCGAAGACTTTATCCTTTTTATCCTTGACTTTCGTTATTAACCAATAACCCAATTAGCGTATTAGTATCTAGCACTGCACTGAATTCACCTGCCGTTATAATTTCAGACTGTCGACCTTCTTGTCGAGATGTCAACGCCATTTGTCGAGGACGCCGTCCAACTACTCCTCCATCGTGGTATACCAGTATCCTCGCTTTTCCAATTTCCCACCAAAAACGAACTTCTCGTTGTTCAAGGAAAATTCTTGAGGCTTGAAACCGACATAGACTTTCCGATGTTCCTTTATTATTCCACTATTGCCTAGTTTACAAGGTATTCAGTCCCTGAACTAATCAAATGGGTGTTCGTCTACTTCTCAAACGGAGACATCATCGCACTTTACATTCTTTGAATGCCATCTTATAAGCGTCGTGAGAAATAGGGTGCTATCATTGGTGGCAGAATTTTTTCGCTAGGACAAATTCTAATATTCTGCCTATTAGCGGCGTTAGAATCTCAACCCATTTTGAGACTAGTCAGAGTATACCACCACTTGCGTACATACTCTAGCAGCGATCGATCGGTACGATCAGCCAAATAAAAGCCACGAAATATAGAATGGTTTTTCCCGGGGTTCCACCCAGTCTCAGACGCGGCGGCGCTCGGGCTATTGGAGGCTTCCTCACGGGTATTTTCTTTCCAACCCTCTTTCAATTCTTCTCTTGCTGTGTTGGGCCCAAAAAATTCCTTTAGCATACTCCATATCTTGGAAAAAAACACATAGAGTACAGCAGTGTCGATCAAAGACAAATTCCAGGCTGAGCGCATAGGCGGAGTCCGGCCTATCGTCGCGTCTCCTTCATAGTGCTCTCTTTTGGAGTATGATAAAGAGGAGCGGCCTGTCATGGAGGAAGGCATAATGATAGGCCTGACTCAGTTCATACGCTCAGCACTGGGTCCTAGGGCCTTCCTGCGGCTCATATTTCTTTGAATGACTATTTACTATGTTATAAAACTTCTTCCACATCTTCGTTCTTTCATGTCTTAGCATTTATGTGCTCAATCCTGACCTTACCCTCCAATCCTCGTGCACTTTTTCTTGGCGTTCTGTTTTCCTAGTTTTATGACGGCTTTTGGTGATAACCGGTGAAATCGCTGCACCGCTCGCTTCACCGTCTTTTCAGCGATTACTTGTAACATCTGTGATGTGATTTTTTGGCTAGTTTGTTTAATATACTGTAATAAATCTTGTTTCACAACTCTGTGAGCTGGTCTGATTAGGTTGTTTTCCACCTCCAAACGGTGCCGTAGGTGACTGTGAGGTGCTAAACGTGCGTTGGCTAATTGGTTCTATAATTTGTAGTGAGCGTTGCTCTGAATCTTATTCAAGTGCTAGACGGGCTAGTTAGGCTGTTTTTGCCTCAAATAAGGAATCAGATTATTGCAATACAGAATCCCTGCTGCGGGTGTCGGTCAAGCACGCTGGCCAGTAGCTTCTTTTCTTTAAACGCTGAAGTTATTGATAAAAATTAGACCATGCAATTAAAATTATTCGGACAGATAATGTTTACCTAGTGGATATCTTCGTAGTCAGTCGGGGCGGTGACACAAAACCCCACCTATCTTGTCAGCACATCCTCAAAACATGACTTTTTGCAGTTGAAAAACCTTTTAGCGCACGTACAGTGCAGTTCTCAGCGGACGGTGGGGCGGTCCTAAGGCCACGCTGGCGAGCGGCCCGATGGTTGCCTGTTGGTGGAAAGCCGCAAAAACCTTGCCTCTGCGTCTCTGATTCTGACTCTGCGCTCTAACACACGCCGCCGCACAATCTACTCACTCTTCCTTTCTGGACTCTCGCCGATCGATAATTGCTCTCCATCAGCTGATTTCTGCCGCATTTTCGCAGCATTACTGCCACATTCAGCTTGTTAAAGCTGAAAATTTTTCGAGTTCGGTTTTCAAGCGTGCGTCTTCCTACTGAAATTAGATCACATTTTGCATGAATTTATCATGAAATTCCCTAGAAAACTTGTTTCTCCTTCTGTTTCGCAATTTCTCCAAACTTTTCTTGAATGTCCTTATTTCTTTTATGTAATAGTTTCAGTAAGAATACTCACCTTCAAAACTGAAGTCGAAAGTCGAAAAATTTCAGCTTAAACAAGCTGAACGTAGCAGTAATGCTGCG